TGCAGCCTCTGAATATTCATCAGATGAGCTGTGATGAAGGAGATGTTGCCCACTGGTGAGGGCGTGAAGAGGTCATGGCACCATGACCCGGTGCGTGGGCACTCCCTGCCACCAGCAACTGCACGACTAGCTGTGAGGCTGAACTCTCTGAAATTGCTAATATTCTACCATTCGGACCAACAAAGATGGCAGTTTCACCTATTCAACCAATAGATACCCAACAAAATGATACGTATATCACCAAAGGACACGTGCTAGATGCTCCCAGCAGCATCTTTTATAACAGCCCCTGAACAGCAAGTGCCCATCACAGCGGGAGGGATGATGAACCCCGGCCCATCCGCAGGCCCAGCGCAGCGAGGTGCGCAGTGGGAGAGGAGGCCATGGTCACTCCGTGACGCGGTGAGGCCCTCAAATGCAGCACGGCCAGACACACGGACACAACAGCGCTGGCACAGCGGGTGAAGTTCCATGGAAGAGCCCATCTATGCCCTATGCTGTGAAGCGGAATATGCCGCACACCCACAAAGCCCCCGCACCCTGGGATGGCCCCCACCTGACTTCCCACGGCTGGTTACATGGATATGTTCAGTTTGTAAAAATTTACCAAGTTCTACATGCTTTTTAAATATGTGATTTCCTGTATATTTAAATCAATAAAAAGTAAAAGAAAAGGCTGAACTTTTTATTCTTTTGTCTACCCCATGACAGAAGCCAAGCATCCACCACTCTGAATGCTGCCTGCGCTTCTCCGGTTAGTCAGCAGGAGCGAAGATGAGAGTCCTCAGGAAGCTTCAGAACCTGTGCAGGAAGAACTCTGCCCCGTCAGGTTACCAAGCCCACTTGGACGTATCCTGACCTAAAGTCCCTTGCGTTTTCTCAGCTGGACCCTCAAGGTCCCATCCCGTGCCCTGCTCCCAGGCCAGCAGGGGGCGCCCTCGGAGCATGGGTGTGGGTCACAGGGCTGCTCCGGACCGTCTCACAGAGCAGGGCTGGGAGTACACAGGCAGGAACGCAGGCTCCCATTTTACACACAAGGAGGTAGAGGTTTGCCGGTGGGAAAGCAGTGCTGGGAGAGGTGGTGAGTCTGACAGGAAAGTCTTGCAGTGCAGGGGTGGGGGTGCAGGGGTGGGGGTGCCAGGCTGGTGTCCCCAGGGAGAGCCAGGGGCCACAGACAGTGCAGCTTTGCTCTCATCAGGGTTAGGTTTGATGGAGCAATTGAGTTGATACCCATCCCCCGGAACTGGCTTTTCAGTATTTCACTATGGACATTCCCATTGCCGAAGACCACTTTTCACTTACGGTGACCACATTCCATTC